CCTCCACTCCCGATGGTTACTAGGCGGAGAGATATAACTCCCTGGGTTCAGCGCACTAAGTGCGATTGCAACCTTCCTCCAGGGTTCCCCTGGGATTTTTTCTAGTTGCCATATCCGCTGAATGTTTTTCAACATAGATTGTCTCACCTCTTTTTCAGCGTTGGTTGTGCCTTTAGTAGCGATGGGAATTGTTTGATGCCCGAGTCCAGAATTAGCATCAACTGTGCCGGATATGGTGACTGGGCTTTGATCTTCTTCTCCTTCAGCTTCTTCATCACCTCTCGTCCTTTTTTTGTTTTTCTTTGCACTTCAGCTGAATAGTCCTGGTCAAAATAGATCCTGTGTCCTTGGTATTGTTTGTCTCTTTGTTTCCATGCCTGTTGTAGCACTTGTTGCTTCACTTTAAAGTCGAGGAATCTGACTATGATCGATCTTGGTGCTGCTGTTGCATCTTTCGGTCTCGGGCCTAGGGCTCTGTGTGCTCTTTCGAGCTTTATTTCAGTCACATCTTGCAACTGCAACGAGTTGTGTAGAAAGTCAGTGACAAATCTCTCCATGTCTTGTTTTTCAGCCCCTTCCGGGATCCCATAAAGTCTTAAGTTATTTCTCCTGGGTCTATTTTCTAGATCACACTTCACCGCGAGGTTAGCTTCTTTCATTAGCAGATAGCTCAGGGCCCTGCCATGTTGAATCTGTCTGTCTTCTGCAGCACTCACCCGTTCCTCGGCCTCCGTCACCCTTTTATCTAATGCCTCAGTCCGCCATTTCAGTTCGTCCATAGCAGTTTCCAGCCTCATTAGTGATGTTTTCAGATCATCAAACGAGTCTTTATTCTCTCTCTGAAGATTCCGTATCTCCGTTAGCATCTCGGTTTCGAGGCCATCATTAGCTTCCTCATTGCTTTTCAATGGTGTTGCTTCAACTAACGTTAGCTGCTTCGTTCCCCCTTTACCTTCTTCGTTTTTTCCACCTTTCCTATTTCTCCCTGTCGATTTTTGGGTCGAACTCATCTTGACAGTTGTCCTGTTTTGCGGTCTCGTATTTATTTCACCTTCAGCTCTCTATAAATCGGCTTTTTTCCCATGGGTTATACGGAGCCAGGGGATTACCTGCCGTTCTTGTTCAAGACGTATGCAGAAGTCCACTTTTATTATCAAATTCATTGACATGGGGAAAATGATCAATAAGTCTGAAATTTCGATAACGATAAATTTTTGATTTATTGCCCAGATCTAATTATACCCAATGTCACCTACGCGCATCCCATCTTACTTCACACATTACAAAGGTGATCAACAGTACAAATGAAAGGTCACGCAAGAGGTCTCATACATCAGAAATGTGGGTGAAAGGGAGTCCTTGTTGATTTCCTTCTTGCTTGTGGTCGGCTCTTCATCTGAAAGAGCCGAGATGCAAGAGAGTCTTTCCACAACATGACAATTAAAAATCAGTTCCCCTTTCTTCATCCTTTTCATCAAGTCACAGAATGGGCAGTGATGAAGAAGAAAATTAGAAAGAAGTTATTTAGAGCATTAGCAGAAATGCATTATAATTTTTTTCAGATTAAAATTTTGTTCTTGTGAAGCACTTTGGGATTTTTATTGGGAGATGCGCTATACACATCAATGTATACAGTGAGTGTACCTATGATGGTAGATGATTTTTTTTCTCCTCGACAGCCTCTCTTTCCAGTGGTATTCCTCAGCGATCAGTTCTTGGTCCGCTGCTCTTTACTTTATACATGCTACCACTTGGAAGAATCATAGCCAGACATAACCTTTGTTTTCATTGTTATGCTGACCATTATCAAATATGTTTACCAATCAGTCCAAATTCTAACGTCACAATAACATCCTTGCTGAGTTGCTTCGATGACCTCCAGTTTTGGCTCTCTGTTAATTTCCTGCTCTTCAATGAAGAGAAGACAGTGCACAGTTTTTACCTCCCTAAACCACCCTGGCAGTTACATGCCTGATCTTGGCCCTTTGGCCTCCAAAAACAAGCCATATCTTAGAAACCTTAGTGTCATCTTTGACAGTGAACTTAATTTTGAAAGCAGATCAGTGCAGTGGTTAAAGCAAGTTTTTACCAACTCTGGGCTATGTGCAGGCTCAAGCTATTTCTAAATCGCTCACATTTGGAAAATGTCATCCACACATTCATCAGTTCACACCTCAACTATTGCAATGCTTTATATGTTGGTCTGTCCAACTTTTCCATTGCTCACCTTCAACTAGTCCAAAATTCTGCAGCATGTCTCCTCACGAACACACCTAGATGCAACCACATTACCCCCATCCTCTCAGCGCTGCATTGGTTCCCTGTGTGAGTTTTGAATACAATACAAACTCATTCGGTTTACATTCAAGTGTATTCATGGCGTAGCCCCCACCTAACTCTCAGACACCTTATGCCTGCATCGACAGACGAGGACAACAAGGTCATCAAACAAGCTTTTCCTTGAACTTCCTCTGTCCAGGTACAAGCAATGGGGTGATCGCTCTTTTTCAGTGGCAGCTCCTAAACTCTGGAACAAACTCCCCACTGACCTGCGTCTAACTACAGAAATGCCACTTAAGCAAACTCAAAACCTCTTTTCCTGCAGGCTTTTAGTTCTTACAAATAGTTTTTTCTTTACAGCGGACCTCTCATGTAGTTATTGATTTTAAGGTTTCACTGTTTAAATTTTTTATGTGACCTTAAATAAACTTTATTTTTATGGTTTTTACCTAATATTCTTATGTTTAAGCACTTTGGTAACCTTCCAGGGTTGTAGAAAGTGTTCTGTAAATAAACTTGATTGACCAATGACTAAGAAATTTTTCATGAATAAAATTAATTCTATTAGAAACAAAACAATTACCATCCTCCCTAATGAAACTTCTTTTTCTTCAGTAAGTGAGACAGCATCAGAGGTAACTGTAGAACCTCATCTGTGTTTGAACTGTTTTATTAAGTTGAGCTTTCAGAGTTTTCAAATATATTAGCTTCATCTAAACCTTTAACTTGTAATTTAGATCCAATCACAACCAAATTATTTAAAGGTGCATTTCCTTTGATTATTGCCCCCATTTTAGATATAACCAACCTATCCTTAGTAAATGGATATGTACCACAGGATTTTAAGGTTCCTGTAATCAAACCTTAGAAACCCTCTCTTTATCCAGATGAACTAATGAATTACAGACAAAAATCCAACCTTCCATTTGTATCTTAAGTCCTTGAGAAAATAGTGGCCAATAAAGTATGTGAGCATCTAAACGCCAATGATCTGTATGAAGAATTTCAGTCTGGTTTTAGAGAGCATCACAGCACTGAAACCGCATTAGTGAAAGTTAAAAATGATACTCTCATGGCCTCAGATAAGAATCTTGTGTCTGTTCTGGTCTTGTTAGATCTCAGTGCTGCCCTTGACACAGTAGATCACAATGTTCTTGTAGAAAGGCTTGAACATGTTGTAGGGATCAAAGGAACAGCGCTAGGCTGGTTTAAATCCTAACTGATAGGTTTCATTTTGTGAATGTACATGACAAATCTAAAGACTCGAGTTATTTGTGGAGTACCACAGGGTTCAGTGCTTCACACACACACACGCACACACACACACACACACACACACACACACACACACACACACACACACACACACACACACACACACACACACACACACACACACACACACACACACACACACACACACACACACACACACACACACACACACTTGGTAAAATCATTAGACAGCATGGGATAAACTTCAACTGTTATGTTGACGGTGCTCAGTTATACTTATCCATAGACCCTGATGAACATAATTGGTTAGGTAGGTTACAGGCTTGTCTTGGACACAAAAAACTGGATGACTCCAAACTTTCTACTTTTATATCAAGACAAGACTGAAGTTCTCAACTCTGGACCGGAACTTTAGAAAAGGAGACTGCTTAGTCAATCACCTGATCCGAACGGCATTAAATTAATCTCTGCGAAGAGAGTAAAGAACCTTGGTGTTATCTTTGACCAGGACATGTCTTTCAAATCCCACGTTAAACAGGTTTGAAAGATTTCCTTCTTCCACCTTCAGAATATTGCTAAGATTTGAAGTATCCTTTCCAGGAGTGATGCTGAAAAACTAGTTCAGGCATCTATTACAACAAGACTGGATTACTGTAATCCATTACTCTCAGGAAATCCAAAGAATGTAGTTAATAAGCTAGAGTTCTGATGAGACTTAAAAAAAGATCACATCTCTCCTGTTTTAGCTTCCCTACATTGGCTGCCTGTTAAATTCAGAAAAGATTTTAAGATCCTCCTCCTCAAATATCAGACTGCAGGTTTACTGGTGGTTCCCAGAATATCTAAAAATTGGATGGAAGGCGGATCTTTTAGCTAATAGGCTCCTCTCTTGTGGAATCAGCTCCCAGCTTCAGTTCGTGAAGTAGAAACATGGTCTACTTTTAAGTATTTGATATGGCCTATGGTTGTGTGTGTGTGTGTGTGTGTGTGTGTGTGTGTGTGTGTGTGTGTGTGTGTGTGTGTGTGTGTGTGTGTGCGCGCGCGCGTGAGAGTGTGAGTATTGTGAGTGCGTCTGCTCTGTCTTCTTTATCCCCAGTGAGTCACGGTTGTTCATTTGAGCTGTGGCCACTAAGTTGTAAACCTAAACGGCATTTTGTGATAGTCTTTTTGTAATGAGGAGACACACAAATTATAGCCCCAAAATCTTTTCTAAGGAGAGTACTGGCACTTATTTCATTCCACTTCTTAAAAGTACCAGAGAAAGTTAAAAATGGACAAAAACAGTGATTTGATTTATAATGTCATATATAACGATAATCGACCAATAGGAAAAACAATGTCGGGACAAGAATTGTTTCCATATTGCCCAGCCATAAGGTAGGAACATCAAACCATCTCTGATATTTGGAAATAATTATAAACTGACCAGTTTTACAGAAGCTTGAAATAAACAAACCAACTTCAGTGAAAATGTGTGAACAAACCTGAGTAGTTAGCAGAGTAGTTGTTGGGGTCGAGGAACTTCTTTACAATCAAGGAAGTGGAAATGAGGGGATGCTGGGTAATGGAGTCCAGATACGCCTGCAATCCCTTCTGTCTCTCTGCTATGAACTCTCTGTCCATGTTTCCGATCAGCTTCTTTGGAGGAAGGGGCAAACTGATACTACACACCTAAAAAAAATATTCATTTTGTTTGTTTCTTTTAGCATATAAATAGAAAAATTACAGAGTCAATCACCACCAACACCAGAGTCTTGAAGGGTTTTCACATATGGATTGGGCGACCAGCCTAGCCCTGCTAAGTTAATTGTGTTTACATCTTTACATCTGGGTAATCTTTATGTTACCCATGCTCAGCCAACTGGTTATTTTGGACAGCGCACCAGGCTAAAGACCAAGACATTTGATTACGCACAAATCATTTTTGTTTGGATTTTAAAAGATGACACTTTACATTTAGAATTGGCAAACAGGAAAAAAATGAATGCAGACAAATAAAATACATTTTAAATTAAATATTCATTCATTATTTTACAAGCACAGAGAGCCACGTCAGATGGATGAAAGAGCCACAGGTAGCCAACCCCTGCGCTAGATCCTCTCAGTCACACCCATGGCTAAATGATACCCTCCGGTAGAGCTGCAGAGCTAAAATGTCACAAAATAAAAGACCCTGATGATCTATCAAAATTTACTGTCCTCATTCTCTGCCAGCATCACCGATGCAAAGAAACTGACACTGACAAAATTCTCAGTCCTTCTGACACTAAGAAACTATTTTTGACATTTAAAACTCTACTTAACCTTTCGCCTCCACCACCTACCAGCAATCTGTAAGCAGACACCTTTGCAAGCCATACCGCCTCATTTTCTTCATTTAAGCTCTCACTGAGAACTGTGTGTCCAAACTTCTCACGTGTAGCCGCCCTACTACATGTCCACTCGACACCATTCTAACAAGGGTGCTCCAATCTATTGCTCTTACAGTAGTTGCAGCAGTCACACATGTAGTTAATGCTTCACTAACATCTGGAATATTTCCCACCTCTTTATTTTTTTACATCTGGGGTTCCCCCCCCCCCCCGTGTTACGGTGGCAGCAACAGCCAGCACCGGGGGGGGGGGGTGGGGGGGGGGGTGGGGGTGGGGGGGGGTACCATTCGGAGCCAAGCCCAATTCCACAGCTGACAGAGCTGCACATTTAAGTTATTTTCACTGTTTTATTTCTCCACACAATGCTGCTAGAGATGATAATAATAATGGCACCATAGGTGAGTAAGGGAGAGAGAGACTCCTCCCACATCAGCAGGTTGGTTCAGGCTGATTTCCAAAGCTTGGTTTCATCAGCGCGAGTGCGGAGTTGTGCACTTTAGTCGACTTGAAAGTTCAACTTCTCTTTTAAAAATGGTTTGAATATTTCTGATGGCACATGTTAGTTCAAACAAGCTAAGGTGTCAGAATGTCTCCTTCAATGTGTCAGTCTCTCTCATGAAGCTGACCGCAGCATAAACTAGGCTTTATAGCGGAGTTTTAGTGAGGAAAGATGACTTCGAAAAACATGCAGCCAGCCTGCCTTGGTAATGCAGTGAAAACTGTAGGCATTTTTGTTATTTAATACATTTGAAAGCTGTTTCTACCTCCAGATTTCCTCCGTGCATTTTTGGAGTAGAACGAGAACATGTTTTTTTATAAAGCACCTCTCTAGATGAAAATCAAAAGTTGCTTCACGAGCACATTAAAAATTTAAATATAAATATAATAACGGGAGAAATTTTTAATAGCTTTAAATGTTTTTATAGTATGATTAGACAGTAAATATTAATGTGATTGATTTGTTGTACTAGATTAGAATCTAGACCATCTTTTCACTTAACATACAGGACGGCTTGGCAGGCTAGTGTTGGACCTTTGTTTGAAGAAAAATTGCAGTTCAGTTTTTTCTTAAAATCGTTCAGCCCTAGTGTCAATCATCTGCCCCACCCTCTCAGCCTAACTCTCAGCTCCATTTACGTATTTTCTCAGAGTGACAAGAACTGTGACAAGGTCAAGTTGGCTGTGGTGGAAACCACTGGGCTTCAGTTTATCTCTACGGGTGACAGTGGAGGGTTTACCATACCATGTTTATTTATATAGCACATTTAAAAACAGCATGACAGCTGACCAAAGTGCTGTACAGTAAAAAGGACAAACCCCAAGATAAAAACAGATAAAAGTCATATAGGAGGTAAGAGGTAAAATCTAAAAAACTGTAAAAGAAACACACAACAATAAAATACAGAGCCACAATAAAACGTAAAAAACACTAAAAACTAGATCATAGAATAAAAGCTAAATGATAGAAGGCCTTCAGTACCAACTTAAATCGACCCAGTTCTGGGGCCTGTCGAACACTAAGGGGGAGAGCATTCCAGAGTTTAGGAGCATTGAACGCAAAGGCCCGCTCTCCACGAGATTTATGCCTCATTTTCGGGACGCACAAAAGCGACCGATCAGCAGATCTCAGGTTCCTGGTTGGAGCATAAGATCGTCCATATTATATGTATAGTCATTGGTGTGAAGACAACCAAAATACTGGAAGGGCACACAAAGTGTGTGAATGTTTATGTGCGTGGGTGGGTAAATGGCTGTTTGTGTTGTAAAGCACCTTGGGGGTTGGAGGACCCTAGAAGACACTATAAATACAGGCCATTTACCATGTGACTAATAACCCCCACCACCACCACCACCACACACACACACACACACGATTATGACACTGGATACACTGAAGTAAAAAAAATAAATAAAAATACTCACCATCAAGCTGCTGTTTAGGATGTCAAAGTCGCTGTAGCGCCGGATTACCTGTAAATCACAACATGACAGCTTTATGCCTGTTACATAGGGAGACGGTGGACAGATGGGAAGAGAAATAAAACTGACAAATCAGATCTTCAGATTGGTCCTGGAGATGAGGGCAAGGCTTCAATCAGCTGACAGCACTGGGACAAACCTCAAAATTAATCCTAAAATATACGGGAAGCCAATGCAATGATTCTAAGACTGGCGTAATATGCTCCCGCTTCCCGGTCTTCATCAGGACACGTGCTGCAGAATTTTGTAAAAGTTGTAAACCTGAGATGATTTTTCTGAGAAGACCAGAAAGCAGGCCATTACAGTAGTCAGTTCTACTGGTGATAATGGCGTCTGGCCAGAGAAAGGATGGGGCGCACTCTGGCTTACATGCTTCTTTCTTTTAGTGGGAAGATGCGACCTGTTGCTGCAACATTTTTCCCTGTGTTGGATTATGGAGATATTTTGTATAAGAATGCCTCTACTAAAGGTCTTCAGTCGCTTGACACTGTATCATGTTGCTCTGAGGCTCATCACTAACCAAACCTCCTTGACTCATCGTTGCGAGTTGTAGTCTCAGGTGGGACGGCCCGTCCAGACAATCAGGAGGAAATCGCACTTTTACAGATTTATATACAAGGCAACACTCGGTCTGCTACCTTCCCACATAAGTTTCCTGCTAAAACTAAAACCTCAGGTCGCTATTGTCTTCGCCTGCAAGATAATTTGTTACTTTCTATCTCATTAGCATGTACTGAACTAGGAAAGACAGCCTTTGTCCATCAGCACCATCGGCTTGGAATGAGTTGCAGACAAAATGGAAGATGACAGAGCTTATTTTGCAGAGTGTTTTTAAATCTAAATGAAGAAATCTTGAGAGCACCTCACTGATATAGAACTGTTTTACTTAGTTTTAGTTTAAAATGTACTTGTTCTATATGGTTTTAATTGTGTAAACCTTGAAAAAGAGGTTTGGAATGTTATGTTGGAATACTAATAAAACTGCTTATTTTAAATAAATAAAGTAAAAAGACTTCTAGCTACCAGAAATTTTATTTCAGTATCTGAACCTACATTAAAACTATTTTATTTCAGATAGACAGAACTTAAGTCTTAAGAACAATTAGGTTCTGCTTTAAAATTGTTGATAATTTATTTCATTTCTCATTTTCCTAATTATAACTACTTAAAACTAGAGATTCCTCTGTTAAGAATCATTTTTCACCATGTACATTCTGGACAGGAAGGGTGTATGTGTGGAGTTTGCGCTGCAAACCCAACACACATGAATGGAAAATGTGACATCATTTGTCCTAAGGAGAATTATATTTAAGATATCTGAAGTGTTCACTGTGGATAGTAAGATGGTTATTATGTTTATCTGGAATATTAATATTTACTTGGAACAACAGATTCATAGATAATCTGGAATACACATCCAATCTGCCCAATAAATGTTCAAACGTCCACCTTAATTTTTTAAGGTTTTGGGGATGTCTCACATCAGTACGGTTGCTGGATATCCTTAGATAAAATTATACTTCTAACAAAATACCTGTTGATATCTGTATTTTTAATTTGACTAGTAATAATACTAATTGGACTGGGATAAATTACATTATTGCTTTGTAAAATAGGCATAAAACAAAGAGATGTGGTTGTTAATTAAATGTTAAAATGGTTCATTAAATTCAAAGGCAGTCCTTCATTGCCACCTGCTGTTATTAATATCAACAAGGATTAAAATAAACACACACTCAAGATTTTATTGGAAGTTTCTATGTTTTAGTCTTTTCTGCATTAAACTGCTAGAGGTTTGTGGTGAACAAATAGTTACTGATAAGATAAATAAACATTTGTTATACTTCTGATGCCCATGCCTCGAGGCGTGGTCTTGCTGAACTTGCTAGCAGAGCACAGCCCTCCTGGTTCTAGATTAATGTTCTAGTTGGACCATTTTAACAAACTAAAGCATTTGATCAAGCAGTGTTTGGTGCATTTACCTGCCAGCTGTTGTCAGAGGACACGCCCCTTTGGACTCTGATGATGTACTCCTGAACAACAGAGACAACAGCAACATGTGATCATTTCCACAAACTACTTCTCCAAATGTTACAATTGAAAGTCAAATGAAACTTCCTTCCACCTAAAACATGATCACGAGATTAAAAAAAAAACTAACTATCAGAATCCCAGTCACACAAAACTAGTTTGCTTCCATGGAAACAGGGCATTTCAGTTCAATTCACCTGAAGGAGAAATAATGATGTAGAAATACCTCACTAGCTTTAGCATTGGAAGCTATCGGCTACCGCTGTTACCTGTCAGCAAACTTTTCTGGGTTCCCATTTTTGGACATGGAGTCTGGTGGCACAGCAAAATCTGTGATCTAGCGTAAAGTGCAATTCTCATTTTCTAGGGGTTATAAAGAAAGAAGAGCACTTAAGTATACTGCTGGGATTTTGGGCTTCACTGTTCCTTCGGGCATTCGATTATCATTGCAGTCACTGCAAATGTCATTTTTTAATATAATTTAGGTAGAACGATATCTGCTGAATGTTTTAACGGATCGTGGGGGATTTGTTGAATGTTGAAAACTGTTTTTTTCTTACAGTCTTTCAGAAGTCTGGACTGATTCCATTTGTTCTACTGCAAATACAAATAAATTAAAGCTGCAAGCAGCATAGTTCGGCCCTCGCAACTCCCTGCCGCTCCGGCCCTGTGCCGCAGCTTGGGACACGTCTGCGGCACAGAAATTATGACCCCCGCGACCTCAGACACTGGGAACGGTCACCTCCACTCAGCATCTCCACTGAGCCTGCCATTAAATTACGCTTCTCACCACTAGGGGATGCTCTATGTTTACCACACTAGTAGTGTGACAATACAGACCAAGTTTAATGCTATTCTGATCTGGTTCTTTGAAGTTATTAAAGGTTGAACTTATCTAGGGGGTGCTGTGACCAACTGCATAAAAATCCCATTGAGGTAATCTTAGATTGATGGTTTTCTGTTAATTTCGCATCATATCAGATGTTCCATGTGTTATCTAGAGCCAGAGCTGAAAGGGGACAGAGCTAAATGGGGTTTGAACCAACAACCACATCAACATGTTTGGTGCAGTCAAATGATGACAAAGTTTGATTCATATCTGACCTTTATCTAAGAAGTTATTATTGTATGAAGTTATGTAGGGGGCACTGTGACCGATTATATTAATATATCATTGAGGTCATCTTAGGCTGACAACGATGGTTTTGTAGTAGTTTGTTTTTGTTCTCTCAAGAACAGCTCAAAGAGATTTTATTTTGATTAAAGACAGCACCATCTAGATAAATTAAAACTTGAACAACTTCAACAAGCCCAGTCACAAACAGGCCATAATCGTTGTGTTTTATCATACAACACTGGTGAGTGTTTTCACTAGCTCAGCAAATGAAATCACTATAGCACCACCTCCTAAAACATGGTTTGCACTTTATGACATTTGCATGATTTGATTTGAACGTAACTTCACATAAATGATCGTTGTCAACCCACGAACAGCTTAATGGGAATAGATTTGAATTTTAACACGGCCCTCTGATTTTTCAAACAAGTGTATCACCATGATTCCTATTAAGATTTCCACCCAATTTGCTGAGCTTACTCGAGGAAGACAGTTTAACCCACCGGGGTGGTAAATTCAGAAAACCGCCAACCACAACCCAACCTAAGCAGGAAGTGGGTACCGAATCTCTTTAGAAGCTGGGATGTTTACCTGATCAAAAACATGTACATTGGGAACTCAGCTGAGCATTACATACTGTTTCATAGGAGGTGGGTTATCGTGCCACCTAATGGTGAGGTACAGAGTTTGTTAGCAGGCTTGGATGAGAGATTGAGTCGGATTGAGATGAGGTGACAGCCCGCAATGATCGCCGTTGAAAGCACGTTGAGGTGTCTGGGGTGCGCTCCTGCGATACTGGTCGCAGGGGGCGGGTTGATAGAGTCCCGGGGGTGTGGTGGAAGGGGTGCGGAGGAAGGGAGAGCAGCCAAGCGACACTGCTTGCAGCTTTAATTACATTTTCAGTCACTGCAATGTTAATCAAACGCCTGAAGAAACGGCGAAGCCCAAAATCCCAGCTGTGACAGCTGTTACGCAGTTTACGTGAGTGCTCTTCCTTTTTCTGTACAAGACCTAGAAAATGAGAAGTACTCATTAGCGCCCCCTTCAGTCACAAATTACAGTAGGTCACAAATTTTGCTGCAACACCCAGTCTGTTTTAGGATTGTTTGTTTATGTACGGTTGTTGGATTATTCGCGGTTTTCCAAGGCTCTTGTGTCCGCGAAATGTGTCATTGCAGCATCAAATGTAATGCTTATGTCTTCATTTTCCACTTTAAAGGACCTCACACTATGCCTGGTTTGGATCATTTGTCGCTGGATTGTACATGTGTTCCGTGTTGCCGGGGCGTGGAAAGGACCACCACAACTCCAGAACCCTTTAAATAGGCGGAAAAAGCACCAGGAAGTTGCTCAATCACTCGGGTCAAATGTCCGATGAAGGGCTTATCAAACCGACCCAGGTCCTGTCCGATAACGAAACTATCAAATTAACGTCCATTTAAAATGCCCAAACACTCAAAGATCAGAAAGCCCCGGTACCGAATCGAGCTTCTGACCGGACAGAACACGCCCGACGGTCCACGTTAGAGTACCGGTGGGTTTCGGTACAAACTTACCGTGTGGGACTGCAGGTTCTGACTGCCTTCAATCACCGCCGACAAGGGAACCGAGTCATCCAACAGCAACCGGCCGGGGACCGAAGGCTTCTCCGGGAACGACATCCCGTCAGGTTGTCACGACCACTGAGGCGGAACCGGTCAAGTACCGGGAGAACTCTGAACCACAGCAGCTAAACTGGTAGAGTGAAACCTGGAAGCGCTGATTTACTAGTAATCAGGTGTAAGGAAAGCGCGTGACCCACAACTGCTGCCCCCTGCTGGCCTGGAGGTGGAAGTAAGAAAATCAGGAAAAACTAACTTCCAACAGAGTAACATCCCCTTTTTAAACTTCATTTACAATTGGAACAAATACAAACTCTCGTTGGGAGAACACAACGGGTCACAACTAACAATTAACATATAAGGAATAAACAAAACATGCATTCCTTTAAAAAGTTCATAGTCCATGTCTGTTTAATAAGACTGCTTCATTGTTTGTGAAACAACATCCTTACTTCCTAGTTGTTCTTAAATGAGAAATTACCTTTTCACCTTTGATCTGTAGGCAGACAGGACTCTTGGTTAATCCTCTGGAGCTCTGGTCTCCTTCAAAAAGCAGCTGAAAACTCACCTGTTCAAGCTGGCTTTTGCGGGACATTCATCACCACCCTCCTTGTTCGGCGTTCTACCAGTGCCGCCTTTCCGGAGGTCCACTAATTTTCCTCTTTCCTATTAAATTTCACATTATTATTGCCCTGTGTTTGAAAAGTGCTATATAAATAAAGCTGCAATGCTTTGCCTTTTAACTTCTAATTTTAACCAAATATTGAAATAATTCTTTAAGATTTTTTTGTATTTTGAAAATTTTGTTTTTTTGAAGCGCCTCGTGATTTTGATCTTGAGAGGCGCTATATAAAAGATAATTTTCTTTCTTTGACCCCTCCCAGTTTAAGTGTAGTAATACTTGTTTCTTGAAGGTCACTACTGAAGCTCCCTCCCTGTGGTTTTTTTTAGATAATGACATGTTGTAGATTTAGAAACAAAAGATTTTGTTTAGGGAAGTATTTTTAATTTTTACTGCCAACGTTTTCACCCTTGAGAGAAAAGTCAGTTATGGACAAACCAACCCCATCTGTAGGGAAAACCATTTATAAACATACAACATGTGATAATACAGTTCTGTCCCATTTGCCTTAGTCTCTTCTTTCTCCTTTCAGTCCTATTGCCGTTGTCCCACAGGCATCCGCACCATCACTTCCCCCTCCATCACCACTTTGTCCTTTACAGAACACGTCACAGTAATGAAGGCAAATAACATCTTGATTTGACGGACCTTGGCTTCAGCCAGTACTTCCTCTCCAACATACAGCGGTGCCGGGAAGCGGATTTCTTGGGATAAGAAGACACAGCCGGGCCCAGGCATCTTGGTGCCAAGCACGGCCGAGATCAGGCCATTGATGAGGACACCGTGCACAATGGGTTTCCCAAAACAGGTGGTACTGGCATAGGCTGGGTCCAGGTGGACAGGGTTGGTGTCACCTGTCAGAGCAGCAAACAGTTCCAAGTCATGAGAGCAAAAGGTTTTGATGAGGGATGCTCGCTGTCCAACATGGAGCTGCCTTGTGAGGGGAGGAGGAGCTCTGATGGATGAACAGCAAAGCCTGTTAACGAATCTCCTCCAAACAAAATCCATGGTTAAAGAAAACAGCCTTTGGCCTCAGTCCAGCTGCAGATCACGACTGTTTCCGGTCAGCGCCAGCAGGAATGGAGACACCTGAAGGCAAACAGAAAACATCACAAACAGCATCTTAACTGCATCCAAACCACTAGACCAGTGGGTCCAAACCTAACCCCCAAGGGGTTCCCCACTATTGTATCTGTGCTATAGTTGAGAGGGTACCATGACATTTTTTTTAAATCCCAGTAACACCCAATAGTATAATCAGAAGTCTGTAGAAGAATTATATCTCTGTATGTATGTGTAAAGGTTATAATTAATCAACATGCTCACTAGTGGGGTTGGGCATCGCTTGATTTTGAACGATTCCAATTCTGATTCCAATTCCTCACTTCGATTCCAGTTCCTATTGATTCCCGATTCTTTCAATACATGACATGTTTTACATGAGCCAGTTAACCACAGGTCCTACTTGATGAAATAATCTAAAGTTCAACATGAATTTTAATTCTATGAACAATAACATCACCTTCATTTAGACCAAAACATGTTTTAGAGAAAAAGAGAAAAAGACTTGCAGCACAACCAGTGTGTTTGTTTCTGACCACAACCAAAGTCTGGAAGAAGCCTCTGGGATGAGAGGCTAAATGTCTCCAACATATCCAGAAACGTCCAGCTGTTTTCAGCTAAAACTCTCAGGATGATCATGTCCAGGATGACTGAGAGCTACACCTCCATGCTGCAGCAGCGATCAGTCAGAACAGGAAGTGAAACTTAAATGTAGCTGCTGTCAGTAACAATCTAACATATTTTAAACATTAAAACTCTCAACAGAAATAGTTCAGAAAGGAAATTAAAATGTTCACAACTTTGTGTGATTTATTGTTATTATTATTATTTATTGTGGCAGAAGCTGGTGTGGTCCACCACAGAGAAAGCTGCTCTAGAATGATGACTTCAATTATTGTGCAGGTTATTGTTCAGCCTTCTGACGCTCACGCTACCCCCACCCCCACACACACACACACACATGAGTGTTGGTGTGCGGCTGCGTCTGACTGCTGACGCTCTGCGTGAGTTTTTATTTCTGCAGTGAGACAAACTCACCTCACACCGTCCAGAGTTTATTCTTTAAAGCTTCTATTAAATCCACCGTGTTGACGTATTTTATCAAGTTTCCTCTACGCTGCAGGAGTTAAAGTTTACATTACGGAGTAAATGTTCAGCAGACGTGTTTGTTTACAGGGAGTGCAGAATTATTAGGCAAATGAGTATTTTGTCCACATCATCCTCTTCATGCATGTTGTCTTACTCCAAGCTGTGTAGGCTCGAAAGCCTACTACCAATTAAGCATATTAGGTGATGTGCATGAGAAGGGGTGTGGTCTAATGACATCAACACCCTATATCAGGTGTGCATAATTATTAGGCAACTTCCTTTCCTTTGGCAAAATGGGTCAAAAGAAGGACTTGACAGGCTCAGAAAGGTCAAAAATAGTGAGATATCTTGCAGAGGGATGCAGCAGTCTTAAAATTGCAAAGCTTCTGAAGCGTGATCATCGAACAATCAAGCGTTTCATTCAAAATAGTCAACAGGGTCGCAAGAAGCGTGTGGACAAACCAAGGTGCAAAATAACTGCCCATGAACTGAGAAAAGTCAAGCGTGCAGCTGCCAAGATGCCACTTGCCACCAGTTTGGCCATATTTCAGAGCTGCAACATCACTGGAGTGCCCAAAAGCACAAGGTGTGCAACACCCAGAGACATGGCCAAGGTAAGAAAGGCTGAAAGACGACCACCACTGAACAAGACACACAAGCTGACACGTCAAGACTGGGCCAAGAAATATCTCAAGACTGATTTTTCTAAGGTTTTATGGACTGATGAAATGAGAGTGAGTCTTGATGGGCCAGATGGATGGGCCTGTGGCTGGATTGGTAAAGGGCAGAGAGCTCCAGTCCGACTCAGACGCCAGCAAGGTGGAGGTGGAGTACTGGTTTGGGCTGGTATCGTCAAAGATGAGCTTGTGGGGCCTTTTTGGGTTGAGGATGGAGTCAAGCTCAACTCCCAGTCCTACTGCCAGTTTCTGGAAGACACCTTCTTCAAGCAGTGGTACAGGAAGAAGTCTGCATCCTTCAAGAAAAGCATGATTTTCATGCAGGACAATGCTCCACCACACACGTCCGAGTACTGCACAGCGTGGCTGGCAAGAAAGGGTATAAAAGAAGAAAAACTAATGACACGGCCTCCTTGTTCACCTGATCTGAACCCCATTGAGAACCTGTGGTCCATCATCAAATGTGAGATTTACAAGGAGGGAAAACAGTACACCTCTCTGAACAGTGTCTGGGAGGCTGTGGTTGCTGCTGCACGCAATGTTGATGGTGAACAGATCAAAACACTGACAGAATCCATGGATGGCAGGCTTTTGAGTGTCCTTGCAAAGAAAGGTGGCTATATTGGTCGCTGATTTGTTTTTGTATTGTTTTTGAATGTCAGAAATGTATATTTGGGAATGTGGAGATGTTATATTGGTTTCACTGGTAAAAATAAATAATTGAAATGGGTATATATTTGTTTTTTGTTAAGTTTCCTAATAATTACGCACAGTAATAGTCACCTTCACACACAGATATCCCCCTAAAATAGCTAAAACTAAAAACAAACTAAAAACTACTTCCAAAAACATTCAGCTTTGATATTTATGAGTTTTTTGGGTTCATTGAGAGCATGGTTGTTGTTCAATAATAAAATTATTCCTCAAAAATACAACTTGCCTAATAATTCTGCACTCCTTGTATATCTGTGTGTGTGTGGGGGGGGGGGGGGGGGGACTCGGTGCTGCACACAGACAGCTGGTGTGGTCGGCTCTGAGAAGCGTTGATCACAATTTGCAGATCACATTTATTTTTCACAGAGATCGGCGGCGGATTCCTCTTCCGGTAGGCGTTCCAGGAATCGAAACTAGGATTCGAAATAAAAAACTTTGAACGATTTTGGGAAAGCTAACAGTTGGAGCCGGTTACAATCGATGCTCGATGCCCAAACCTACTCACTAGGTCTCCTCAATTATGGCAAAAAGGATAATCACAATTATTTAGACAGAAACTGAGATCTCTATTATTTAAGATGATTTCTAAATTAATGTTGGCTTTTATTCATTTATTTGGTCAAAATCTAACGGGGCACAATCTGAGGGGGGAGATGAGAAAAAGAAAGAAAAAAAACAAGACAATCACAAAAACAACTCCTGATTCTTACAATAACTCAAAGGGTTTAGGTTGAGGTTTGACTTATTTAAGCCTACTCAATACAGACCCCATTTGATAAAAATATATTGCAAATACTGACAGCAAGAGTTATACAGTGCAATTATATTATAAAATAAATGAACATAAACATCTATGATGTAGTGAACTTCCACAAAATGTTGTGTAGCCAGTGGCATCTGGTGGGGTTGGCACAACAATTGCCACCAGGTGGTTGACATACTGCACTGATCAAATGAGCTGATAAATAGCTGTGGGTGTGGCAGTGAGTTTCTGAGAGCTCACGTCTCCGGTAAGGGCCGGGTTTGGTCCCGCTTACGGAGGGGTCACTGAGAGCCTGTGTTTTGGTCCTGCGAGCAGGACAAAAAGCTGACCAAAAACTCTCACCTTAGGTTGGAAATGATCACAGGTAACTAGAAACAATGCAGAAGTTAAATTAAACCGCTAAAATAAAGTGTTTACTCCTAAATAAATTAAAATAAACAGCTAAAATAAGGTGTTTAATCATGTAGAAGTAATAATAAACAGCTAAAATGAAGAGTTTCCTCTTGAAGGAGTCAAAAAGTGCGTTATACATAGTCAAAATGAGAAGTAAAACTAAGAAGTTAAAAGAAAATGAAATAAGTCATTTTATATAAATAAATGTGAAATTTTATATAAATAAATGTATGAATGCTGTTATATTATTATTGAAAATATAATTTTGTTATCCTTATCTTGTTGGCCATAACTTTGTTAAGGGCAGCCAGACCCCACTCAATTTTTTTCTCATAAACTGTGTGAATGGTGTTGTGCTGCAGACACGTGTGGTTAATGGTTTGGCATTTTGGTCAAACTTTTAATTTTAATTTGGTTGCTTTGGAGCTGTCGATGTTGTGCTGTTGTCTGATAAGAGCTCTGCCCTGTGTTTGAGTTTGGATCTGCCATTGCTGTTGGCTGGGAGATGCTGTGTCTTGGCTGGTGCCATGTGACGTGTGAACCTGTGTGTGTGCATCAGTGCGTTTACATGCACCCAGTAACCCTTTTAAAACCTGAATATTCACAATAACCCGGTTCCGCAGGTCCATGTAAACACCGTCAAAAACCCGGATATGCTCATAACCGGGTTTTAAAAAACCCGGTTACTACACCTGGGGTAACCCTTTTCTAACCCGAATGTTTGGTCGTGTAAATGCATATCGGGATATCCCCATCAACGCGTGTGTTCTGCGCATGCTCTGTTCGCAAGGAATCTTGGTCTTTTGAGTAGCGAGATGTCTTGTATGCGCCAGAACACCGGAACTAAACAACAAGTTGGGAGCAACATGGCGAGTCGCGGCACAGCACACTTTTGGAGTGACGAGGAAACTAAAGCGCAAACAAACGCGGTCGCTATCTCTTCCGAACTGGGAAACATGTTGTTTTCACGGATACCGGAACAAGAAGAACCGGAAATGACGCATATTGCGTCTGGACGTAGTCCATACGTCCTGACGCTACCCCAACGTCCGCATTTAAATCGGGTTATGCAAGTTAGAGGTAACGCTTTCTATTTATGCTTGTAAACGGGTTATTCTGATCAACTTAGAAACCCAAATACCGACCGTAACCCGATCATAACAAGGATATTGGCTGCATGTAAACAGTCTATGTGCGTGGATGTGAGCTCAATGTGTGTCTGTGTGTGAGAGGGGGAGCGTTGATTTACGACCCATGTGGTGTCAGGGTTGGATGTGAACTCCTGCAGCAGGTGGGGGAGGTGTGTTCCTAAATGTTTCTGTCCTGGACTCTAGTGTTTCTGGCGTGCACTCGCCTCATCTGGAGAGCTTATCTCTCTCTTCAGAGGTCACGCTTGGGGCTTTGGTTGACCCCCACCTTCATGTTTCTGTTCACGCGCTTGTAACTACAAACCTGCATTCAGCTGCTCTTAAATGACACTGTTCTGAACACATTGTGGATAACTTAGGTTGGTGTTTGTTATTCTCAACCCAAAACTGAGTGATTAGGCACAACCAAAGTGCACACGTTCTAATACAACATGATCCTATGTTGTCTTTGTGTTTTTACATGATTGTAGTTGCTTAAGCCAGTTTGTTTACACCTCGTGTTTGTATGCTCTGTCTGGGTGATCTACAGTCTGACATCCTGACCAACCATGGTGGGTTGGTCTAGTCACGTTTTATTATAGCCTCATTTGCATTCTTGCAAAGAATGTTTTAAAAAAATAGGATTTTTCTTTTCCATTTCTGAAAATGGTTTAGTTCATTAAGCAGGCTGAGTTAATCCACCCTAAAGGCTGATTTATACTTCTCCATCTGCGTGGGTACGGAGACACGCAACGCCATTCTGCATTGGCGCAAGGACTTTCCAACAGGCTCACAAAGGCTGATAGACATGCCCAACTATTTAACTATCCATCAAAAGTTACTGAGACAGCAAGATTGTGATTGGTCAAGCCGTCGCTCCCTATAAATTCGTCAACAGCACCGCCATTGTCCTGTCAAAAAGATACTTAGCGACAGACATGGAACAGATTCCTTGCAGAAAAAGTCTGAAAATATTAACATTTATTTACTTGTGACTGAAGGAGCACAAAGATACCTAGCAGGTAGGGCTGCAGCTATAGAATATTTTAGTAATCGAGTATTCTATCAATATCCGGATTGATTAATCGAATAATCGAATAAAACATACTTTTGCTAAATTAAGGTTCAATTATAAATATACAATATAAAAAAGACAGACTTAATAATGAGAACAACAAATTTAAACCTTATGTATAAATGACATTTTATTAATGTGTTTGTATAATGGAAAATAGTAATTGTTTCTTTAGAAAAATCAGAGAACTAAAATTACTTCCACCTTAACATTTGAGATGAAAACACAAATATAAATAATATTACTTTAAACTTAACATTCCCTGAGACAGTTACATAAAAAAATAAAAATATTATTTGAATAACAAAAAAGCAGTTATCACTCTTAGTATCAAAAAGAATGTGCAATAAATTGTGCCGTTAACACTGCCCTTCAATTGTGCAACTTTATATTCAGAACTAACATAAGACAGTAACTTGGCCCACAAGTCCTACTACTGTAAACAAGGATTTTAAACTGTCCTCAAGAGACTGCCTGGGGAGTGGAAGTACAATCTATCCAAGGAGCCTGTGGTTGCAGTGAAGGAAGGTGAGCCTATCTACATGCTCAGGGCTGAGGCTTGCCCTCTTCTTTGACACAATATTACCTGCTGCTGAAAACAACCACTCGGATGGGGTGGATGTAGCTGGAATACAGAGCAGGGAGTTTGCCAGCTTCGCCAATGTTGGAAAGCGTTATTCATTCGCTTTCCACCAGATCAGAGGACCATCCTTCTTTGGAAGGGACTGTTCTCCGAAATATGCCAAGACCTGTGACAGTTGGGGGAAAAAGCACAAACAAACAAAATCTAAAAATGTCTTTGGCTTATTCAACATTATAAAATATTCATTTTCTGTTCTAGTAGAACATTTGAACTGCCTTATAGGAAATTGTTACCAAAATAAAAGGGGCAAAAAAACAAAGCATTATTTATGTTTACCTCATTCTGTATCGCTTCATTTGACAGCTGTTCTTCATCTTGCTCTTCATCACTGCTGGTGGAGTCCGAGTCAAGGAAGGATGTGGTCATCTTGTCTTTATGCGCTGTAGATGGAGCACCCTCTGCTGTGCTGGATGCTTCATTTCCACATCCAGTAGGCCCCAGTTGCTGCTTGACAGCAAGTGCCATGGTTTGCAATGCGTTTTTGACTCCAAATGCTTGGTCAGCAGGCAAGAATTTGAGTTTTCGAAACCTGGGATCCAGAGAAGCAGCAAGCAGTGTGATGTTTGGAGACTCTGGTTTGAACTCACCCAAGTCTTTCCATCTTGTTGTGACCTGTTCTTTTGCATGAGTCTGGAATGACACCACAGGTGGTGACTCGAGATTCTGACTCTGGAGTGACTTCTTAATTTTGTCAACAACATGTGGAAGTGCAGAAAGCGTAACATATTGCTCTCCGCTCATAAAAACTGTGGCAGAGTGGAAGGGCTCAAGGACCTGGTTGAGCTCCTCAATCAGGCTCCACTGGTCAGATTTGAGATCCAGGTAATGTTTCCCTCTTTGGGTCACTTCTGGGTCAGACAATGTAGCAGTCACTGGCCATCTTTGTTCTTGCAGCCTTGACAACATGGCATAGGTGCTGTTCCAGTGTGTGCAGACATCCTGCAACAGCATGTTTTCTTTGGTCCCCATGTGCCTCTGCTTGACCTTTAACTTTGTGCTTGCCAATTCACTTTTCTTAAAATGTTCGACAAGAGTTCTTGCTGCACCCACACACCTGGAGATAGCCTGTTGGCTTTTTAAAGTGTTTTGCACAACCAAGTTGAGGGTGTGTCCTGCACATGTCAGTGCTCCCATCCATGCTTTGCATGCAAAATCTTTGTTGCAGCTACAACATTAGCACCATTGTCATGTACAACAGCCTTGATTTTCTCTGGTGGAATGCTGAATTTGGCAATTACCTCCTCAATCCAATCTGCAATGTTTGCAGCTGTGTGCCTCTCCTCCAAGGGCATAGTGGTAAGACAATGAGACATAATTTTCCAGTTTTCTAGGTAGTGGCACGTTATCCCCATGTAGGCCTCTGTTGCCACACTTGTCCAGATATCAGTAGTAAGTGCTATGGTGTCAGTCTCTTGCAGGGCTTTCTTCATCTTGTTTTTGATGTCTTCATATTTTTCTTTCAACCGCTTTGTGAAAAAGGTCCGAGATGGAAGAGCATAATTTGGCTGGAAAGCAGCAATCATCGCTTTGAAGCCAGCATCCTCCACCATGCTCAGTGGGCGCATGTCTGTAACCAGCATATTTAGAATGCGGTCTGTCAGTACAGCTGCTTGTGCTGGGGTGCAGGCAGGTGCTTTCAGCAGAAATCTATCCAGGACAGGTTGTGATGTTTTACTGAAAAAAAAAGGCAAAAAATAAATAAAGTGAAGTAAAACATTCCTAAATTGCAATTAGGATTTGGTACATTTCCATGGAAGGCTATGCTGGGGAATTTTGGAAATATTTAAAATTAGAAACTGTGCACAAGAAATAGGGGAATTCATGAAAATTAACTGGAATTTGGAGATAATTTTAACAAACTATCATTCAACCAAAGGTTTTTTTTAAATTGTAAACCAATTTTTAAAATATACATTTTAACAGATGTATTTTAAAGCAGCACTTTAAAACTAACTTATAACAAATAAATGTATTTTATTGACACAACATTTGAGTCAACATTTACGTCCTGAAATAAAAGTTTATTTACCTGGTCTCGACACGTCCACTCATGCCCTCAGTCGGATGCTTTCTTAAGAGGTGCTGCAGCATGGAAGAAGTGCTGTTGTGGTATGCTAGCTCCACCTTGCAATGCTTGCATACAACGACGTTTTCCTTGCTTTTTAATGTAAAGTGATCCCACACTTTGGATAACTTCTGTCGCTTCCTATATCCCTCGTTTTGGTCTTGCTTGTTTTCATTTATTTCCGTGGCGTCTGCCATAGTCGGCTGTCCAGCTGAAAAGACAGCTGCGCCTGCGCGCTGTGCAGTAGAGTGCATGGCACGTATAATCTGTGACGTAACCGTGTTGCGCAACACAAAGAATCCGTGCAAAACGCCGGTTTTTTTCAGCTATGGTCTATTTAACGAGTCCTCGAGGCAGGGGAAAATCCTCGAATATTTTTTGTCCTCGAATCATTCGAGTTACTCGAGGATTTGTTGCAGCCCTACTAGCAAGCATTTTATTGATGGACAGAAATGACGGGTAATTTGGAAGTCAAGTGTGAAGAGGTGGAGCAGAATATGGGTCAAATTTGTCAATGTTAAATAGTCTCTGACATAAATCAAAGCATGTAAACACACCATCTTGGACCAGATACATGACTGTAATGGTGAAAGGTGCTATGCTCTCTGTTGTACTGGTAGAGGAATTGCTTTGCAACGCTCCCCAGGTGATGGAGAAGTCTGAAGGGGAAACACCTCTGTCAATGCTTGAGTGCGACTCCACACTCGAGCTGACAGAAGTATAAACCAGGCTTTACCCTCGGTCACATCACACAGGTGAATTCAAATTAAAATCTAAGAAATAACTGAGCTAAAGGTTAAATCTGCTGACCTGCAGGACTCTGAAGGCACAGGCCTGGCTCTGGTAATAACCCTGCAGAGTTAGGGAGCTCCACAACTTCACCAGACCTCTGAAAGAAATATCAAAACAATCAGACCCCATCAAGTGTATTTAGTCAGACGTTTGAAGCAGCAGCATTGGGCTCACCCACTACAAACACGCAGCACAGCAGTGAGAGACCCTTCATCAAACTTCAACACATCAAAGGGCAGGGCTGCTCCCACCTGAAGCACATTGGTGTAGAAGCATTTCAGTAACTGAATGCAGCCTTTAGTCACAGCTCCGATAACAATAGATGTGTTTAGCTCACCTCTCCATGTAGATCCTTCAGGCCAGTGATGATTAAACTCTTCAGTTCAACTGCATTCAGTCTGGTTTCCTGATCCTGTAAAACCCTTAAGTAGTAATGCACCAAGTCACCAACAAGATCAAAGACATGCACCAAAGACAGGAAAACTACTAAAAACCAGAGACTAACAGGCAGACTTTCATATAGCAGTAAGGCGAGCCGTTCTTCAGCACCGTTCGGTGGAACCCAGAAGATCCAATCTTCTCTCTGACTGATGTCATTCTAACAGAACCTCAGAGATCAGCTGACTGTGGACCAAAACACACAAATCTGTAATTACCTGTTATGATCAGAACAACAACAAAGTTAATGACAAATGTCCAAAGTATGAGGATTGCTGTAAAGACTCTCTGTGTTTCTCAATGTCAAGGCACCTGGCCTTGCGAGGCGATTTCTTACGAGGCCTTGCAAGCATCAATCTAGAAGCTAATGATGGATATATTAAGCAGGGGTGTCAAACAATGCGGCCCGCGGGCCGGATCAGGCCCGCACACAGTTTAAATCCGGCCCGCGAGATGATTGCGTAAACCTTATTTTCAGACTTAACAATGTGTAACGTGAGGAAATATGGGTTTTCTATCACAAAGGTGGTGTTGGACTCAGCTGTGTCAAAGCTGGGTCGCTGAGAACTTTCACCCACAGATTAAGACCTGAACGCCAGCGAGTCTGGGAGGAAACCATAACATCAACCACCTGCAGTCTACCAGAAGATGTGTTTACATGAGTTGTACCCAGACCAAGTCAAAACATAAAGTTTAAACTTCTTTTTCTTGATTTTAATGTTAAAATAACATTATCATTTTGCTCATTATAAATGTGTTTAATCAAATGAATGACTATTTAGCTTTGGGGTAATTATAATGGTTTAATGAATCCATTCTTAAATAATGTTGAGAATGTTTGTTACTGACCTTCACACACACTCAAGCACAAACATTCACACACACCCACACACATCTTGCCCACAGTAAAATCCAGACACATTTGATGACGCACGTTTGCTTTGAGAAGAGAAAGGTTTTTGGTAAGTTTTCAGTCTTATGATTCAGTTCGTGTTGGACAACGAGAGAGAACAGACCTGAAAACCAAAGGGGGGGCAGAGCCTGTTGGCTCGTTCTTCCCCCCTTTCACGCTGTTTCTGCCACGCCAGGCAGAATAGCTGAATCGCAACTTCTAACGCAGACTCATTACCGAGTCTTTTGATTTCTGAGTGAATTAACTTAAGAAAGCGCGTCGACAAAACGCTTTACCATCAAAGTGTACCGAGGACAACTCTGGACCGGGTCGCAGCGCATCTTTGTCTTCTCTGCCAGCCAAGGTGCCCTGGATGAAACATCCTAAGGTGACGCCCCGGATCCGAAAGAGGGTCCAAAAGAATTCGGTGAGACAGAACACGGTGTTTAGCGTTTTGATGCATCTTTTCCAACTAAGAGCCTAAGTTTATTCAAACCATCACTTTTCACTCAGACACCTGGTTCTTCCTGAAGCAAAATCAGATGCACTCACGCACCCATCCCAGCTCATATCACTCTCACCATCACAACATTCTCAATCTTCATAAATTCATCAGAAGGTCTATTTGAGCCAGAACAGCATATCAACTGTTAAAGAGATTGTCCCACAAAGTTACTAATGTTGATTGTATTTCCTGTTTGTCAATTTCAAAATCATTAGTTTAATTTGAAGAATTAAAACTTTTAAACGTCAAACTGGTTTCCTCATTGAACTGAAACACAGACACTCAGATATTATCGGCAGTTTATGGATGAAAACAACCTTTGAGTCTTCTGAACAATATAAAATTTGGTTATTGATTTATTAAAATTAATATTCCGAATTAATACGTAGCATGGTTCCTCTTTCATAAAAGAGCATAAATCCATAACGCTACATTTAATGGCGAGCGTATCCAGTCTTCTATATCTGTGATTTATCTGATTTCTTACATCTAAAAGCTACAAACAACGCTTTTCTCTGTGTTTCACTTTGATGTCTTATTTTGAACTTAACCGGAAATTGTTCCGCTCACTAAATTCTCCGACCTCAGAACCGAGACTAAATTCTCGGACACCTTTCGTCTCAGTGTGTTGACACTGTGGGCGAGCTATTGTGGAAAATATCTCCATTGCATGAGCGACTTATAGAAGCCGAGTCTAAACGGAATGCCCGTAGGCACCTACTGTTGCTTGATTGCACGGTAAACGTCGTAAGCCGGGTTATGGCCGTCACTCGTTACTGCATTCAGATTGCGTGCGTTTTTTTAAACGGAATGCTCGGTGACACCTGCCGGAGCTTGACTGCTCGGTAAACGTCGTAAAGCGAGGCACAGCCGTTACGCGTTACTGCATTCAGATTGCGTACGTTTTTTTTAAAGTCCGTATTAAAAGTGGAGCGAGATGCCTACTTGTTAATCGGGGAAATTTCAGTCTGGCCGCTACAGACAAAGAACGCTAGGCCTGGCCGGGGAGCTAAGCTAGCGCCACAGTTAGACAAATAGGGCACGCGTCCCGTTAAATTGTCATCATTTCTGGCACAGTCAGTCTGTGTCCTCACAAAACCCGCATTGGCGGTGATTCTTGTAAATCGCTACGGTGTGTAGAATCTACATTTTGCTACGTTTGTCCGTCTGATACCAACACGGCAGCGTAGGGTTTGTTATTTTTTTTATTATTTTTATTTTGGACCGGTGAACGGGTCGGCTTTCACAGCCTCCGTTGCTCGGTTCCATGCCTTTTTCTTCCATCTTGTGAAGTAGTGTGTATTCATTTCTCTATCAACAATTCCTTGTTTTACCCTGTGTCATTAAGTTAAGTAGGCTACGGTCAGTGAGACATATTAAGGAATCTGCCCGGAGTTTTACGTCGGCTCAGAAGGTAAAAACGCGAGTTGCTCTGAACTTAATGGGAGATGGACGAGACACGACAAAATCTTTCTTGCACTGTTACACCTGATGTAAGGTTCTCTGACGTTCTGCTTCCAGAACATGCCAAGACGCAGGACATTCACCGGCCGAGCATCGCTGGTCCCTCAACCCGCCCGAACGGGCCCGTTTTAGGCGGGTGCCGCCGGTCGGGAACAGTGGGGACTAGTGGCTGCGGTTCGGTGCCAGCTGCACTGGGTCGGAGGTGGTTCTGGTCGGCACTTCATGTCGTGAATTCAAGCAACATGCTGTTTACAGTCATAACGCTTTTTCTTTACTTTTATTTCTTCCAGGGGGTAAAAAACCCACCATCAACATCAAGGTTTGAAATAAACAACACTTTCTCTGCTGCTTTTAAGCTGAATAAATCTCTTGAGCCTATGGTTAACCTATCTGACAAACAGGTTGTGCTTAACCCTTTGGTTCCTAATGCTTCTCCTCTGTCATCCATGTTAAAGGCTGAACATCTCTCCAGCATGGGTGTGAAATCTTCAGGCTGTGACCCACCGCTTCAGTCAGCGGTCTGTTTTACTCGTCAGTCCGCCTCATGCACAAACCAGCTTCTTTATCGGGGCGTGATGGAAACGTCAGCCGCCGTGAAACACTTGTGGTCTCCGGACGGAGCTACCATGCCATTTAAGGGGTTTGTGCCCGGACATCTTGATCTTTATGTGAATGACCTTGTCACTTTTCAGTTTGTGACCTCTGCTAATACGGTGGCCAATTCTTTTCTCCTTTCACAGGGGTGTGACTTAGTCTCGGGCCTCTGTGCTCTCTTTCCTGTGATTTCTCTTACAGGTGACCACGACGACACAGAAAACCCTGCGGTTTCCAGCAGTCCTGTGGTCAGTGGCGATATTAAAGGTGGCTCGGTGGTTGCTGCGCACACCTCTCTCACGGGCTCGGGAAGGCAACCCGGCCCGGGAGGTGTAGGTGCGTGCAGTGATGCTCTGGTCGGGGCCCCTCCTGACAAAAGGGGGGTGCCGAGTGGCACTGAGTTTTCCGTGGCGGACTTCAGGCTGTTCGGGGGAACGCCTCCTCTGAGCGGGCGGGTCATTGCAGAAATCGACACTGACCTTCCACCAATTCGGCTGACAACATTGACCTCCGACCCGGAGTTAGGTGCAGCACCTTCTACGGGGCGGAGTTCTAGTCAGTCTGTAACTACTCTGGTTAAACCGGGTTTTTCTGATTCTGTGTGGGAACCTCCATCATTCTTGGGAATAAAGTATTCTTGGTTTCAGTTTTCAGGACAGACCATGTTCCTAAAGCTAGCATCATGTCTGTATCTGATTCTAAACATAGCTAGGTTTGCTTTGACACCCGTGACACAACCATCCTTGGATCACTCCTTTTCAGAACCTCCAAGTCCAACACCTCCAGGTCTTTGGACATCTGAACACCTACTCTTTCAGCACGATTCAGGTGACAATGTGCATCTTCTTGGTAATAGAGCTTTTAAGAGCTTGAGAACTGTTCTTTGTTATGCTTCTCCTGTCTCACAGACACGGCATACGTTTGAGAAACAAAAGGGGGGTGGGGAGCCTCCTCCCGCTTTGCGAGCATCGGTTTCGCATTTCCAGTTCACTACCATTTCTGATCACAACAAAGTCGCCTCCGTAAAGCTGCAACACAACTTTGAGCAGGTAAAATCAGGTTCTGATCTAACAGCTAAACCATCAGCTTCGCTCCAGTTCCAAACGGAACCCTCAGGTAAATTCAAACACGTTTCCCTGTGGGTTCGTAACACAAGATACAAACAGTTTGATAACCAAATCGCTTATGAGCCTGCTCCCACAGATACGTCCAAACTCGTGTCTCTGTGGGTCCGCAATACCAGATTCAAAACTCTATTCTGACCGACTCTATTCTGACCGGATTCTTTTCCACTGACTGGTGGACCGTTACAAATTCTCTCGTTTGTGGGATGAATTTTTAACAAATGTGATATCCTTTGAGTTTTTTTTTTCAGGTTACCTGCCTCCAGCCAGGGTCCTGTTACTAACTCACACCTTTAGGGATTACTAACCTACTGATTTACATTTTTAGAACTGATTTACATCTCTATCTTTTTATTAGTGCTTTGTGTAGCATGATTATATTTGATTACAAATTTAATTTTATTTTGTTGCTATTTCCCTTAAAGGGCCACAAGCCAATTTGCCCTTCATTTTCATGATTATTATTTCTTTTATATACATGCCTTTAATTAGTGCAGCCTGCTGAGTTTCACATATCAGTTAGGATTTACTTTCTTTTATTTGTGTTTTCCCTGCATCACGTTTTTACATGACACGTAGAACAGGGTGCAGAACATTTCTTCTTTAGATAATTCACAAAAGGCACCCACATTTTCCCAGAGGCACCCATAGATAGGTTTTGATTGATTTCTTTGTTTTGCATCAAATGCTATCTGTCGTGTGGGCTGTCTCACTTTGTCTCCTTCTCCGAGCTCGTATGGACTACATCCCATCAGAGGGGCCGTCTTCACCATCCTTCAACTGGTTTTCTGTCGCATGGGGCTTCGGTCGTGATTCGAGATGGGTCGAGGTCGTCACTGGACTTCGCCTGGACTACGCCTGAGGAATACTTCATCTGCCCGGCTCCGTGTGGCACACGAGCTGCTTATCCTTTGCATACCTTTGCATTATTGCTGATGAAATTAACTGCTATTGAAATAGCTCTGCTTTCAAGATTTCCTAAGTGGATTACTTTACAATGATTGCAACAGTTTTGGCCTTAATCATCTGATCAGGATAGACTCCCTTCTACACGAGACCTGTGGAGACGCTTCATCGTTCCTGCCTTCATCTGGGATGTCTACCTTCACGAGTACATCACGTTATTGTGTTTGTAACGGCAGGTGGCCTGTGCTTGACCACCATGTCGTCACAAAAAGGGGGGGTATGTAACGTGAGGAAATATGGGTTTTCTATCACAAAGGTGGTGTTGGACTCAGCTGTGTCAAAGCTGGGTCGCTGAGAACTTTCACCCACAGATTAAGACCTGAACGCCAGCGAGTCTGGGAGGAAACCATAACATCAACCACCTGCAGTCTACCAGAAGATGTGTTTACATGAGTTGTACCCAGACCAAGTCAAAACATAAAGTTTAAACTTCTTTTTCTTGATTTTAATGTTAAAATAACATTATCATTTTGCTCATTATAAATGTGTTTAATCAAATGAATGACTATTTAGCTTTGGGGTAATTATAATGGTTTAATGAATCCATTCTTAAATAATGTTGAGAATGTTTGTTACTGACCTTCACACACACTCAAGCACAAACATTCACACACTCCCACACACATCTTGCCCACAGTAAAATCCAGACACATTTGATGACGCACGTTTGCTTTGAGAAGAGAAAGGTTTTTGGTAAGTTTTCAGTCTTATGATTCAGTTCGTGTTGGACGAGAGAGAACAGACCTGAAAACCAAAGGGGGGGCAGAGCCTGTTGGCTCGTTCTTCCCCCCTTTCACGCTGTTTCTGCCACGCCAGGCAGAATAGCTGAATCGCAACTTCTAACGCAGACTCATTACCGAGTCTTTTGATTTCTGAGTGAATTAACTTAAGAAAGCGCGTCGACAAAACGCTTTACCATCAAAGTGTACCGAGGACAACTCTGGACCGGGTCGCAGCGCATCTTTGTCTTCTCTGCCAGCCAAGGTGCCCTGGATGAAACATCCTAAGGTGACGCCCCGGATCCGAAAGAGGGTCCAAAAGAATTCGGTGAGACAGAACACGGTGTTTAGCGTTTTGATGCATCTTTTCCAACTAAGAGCCTAAGTTTATTCAAACCATCACTTTTCACTCAGACACCTGGTTCTTCCTGAAGCAAAATCAGATGCACTCACGCACCCATCCCAGCTCATATCACTCTCACCATCACAACATTCTCAATCTTCATAAATTCATCAGAAGGTCTATTTGAGCCAGAACAGCATATCAACTGTTAAAGAGATTGTCCCACAAAGTTACTAATGTTGATTGTATTTCCTGTTTGTCAATTTCAAAATCATTAGTTTAATTTGAAGAATTAAAACTTTTAAACGTCAAACTGGTTTCCTCATTGAACTGAAACACAGACACTCAGATATTATCGGCAGTTTATGGATGAAAACAACCTTTGAGTCTTCTGAACAATATAAAATTTGGTTATTGATTTATTAAAATTAATATTCCGAATTAATACGTAGCATGGTTCCTCTTTCATAAAAGAGCATAAATCCATAACGCTACAAATGTAAAGTCTGAAAATAAGCTTTCATTTTTCAATTAAACTACTGGTGAAAGTTAAAAGATGTCAGGTATCAGGAGTCAAAGACATGTATGACACTGATATAGCCATGTGATCTGTGAATCAGTTATTTGAATCACTGAGCTTGCCCTCTTTGGGTTTTTTGTTTTGCATTTCACATTTTCAAATACACTTCAGGTGTTTTATTATTAATGGTGATGTTGTGCTTAAACTATTTTGGATACACCGTCCTCAGGCTCCAGCTTTGTTTTATGTTGATCGTATTAAAACAAAAACAAAAAACACTGGTCTGGCCCACTTGGGACTAGATTTTCCTCAATGTGGCCCCTGAGCAAAACTGAGTTTGACACCCCAGCATTAGAGCATCCTGGTGCAATAAGCTAAACTTTTATGAATGACACGATTAGTCGACTAATCGTCACTGGCAACTAGTTGACTACTAAAGTAATCGTTTGTGGCAGCCCTAATTTAGTGACGCAGAAACCCAGCAATTACTTTATATCTGTTGGCTCTAAAGCTTCTTCTTAAAGCAGAGTAAATAGGATAAACATGTGTGCCTTAACCTGGGAATTAAATATAATAAAACCTCCCTGTTTTTCACAGCTTTGTGTTGACTATTTCTATTCTAGAATAATGAATACGTATGAAAAATAGGTCTAAATCTTAATCAGCTTTGAATTTCATTTCTATTAAATAATGCACATTTAAACAGATGATGAGATGTGTGTTCTAGTTCTAACTTGCAAACACTAACCTATGAAAGTGAAGACATAAGATAGCCTTAAGGAGGGAGATCCCGGGCCTGCTGGGCTAGTATCCAGCACGTTTTTAGATTCAACACACTTGATTCAGTGGCTGATTCCCTTGTGCAGCAGCTCATCAGGCCCTGCAGAAGCCTGATAATTACCTGCTGATTGAAGTTAAAACTGAAACGTGCAGGATACCAGCCCTCCAGGCCCAACAATGAATATCCCTGGCCTATATATAGTAATATATATAACCCCAGTGTTTAAGAGCCAACAGATAAAGTAATCTAACAGTGTGTTAAATGCAACAAAATTTACACATTTGATGTTTTTCAGGTTCTTTTATAAAAGAAACAAACAGGTTTGTTGCAAAACAGGACATGATGGTTAATATAGCACGAAGTTAACAATTTCTTCACTAAACTCCTCAAAATCTGGCTGGAGAGATTGAACACCCTGCAACGAGAGAACACGGTTTGTTGTTACATGAAATAGCCAATCGTATGAGAGAGAGCTCTTCCTGCCAATCAGAGGCGAGAATGACGGGACCTTCCTAGAACATCCTACTATTCCAACGGAGTAATGCCGGACCTTCACACGCTAACGGAAGCTAATTATGTTTCATGCTGTTTAAGCTAACCCGTTTTAATCAGAAAGGACAAATCGCCTCGCTGGAAGAACTTACAGCAAATTAAAGTCAACGTTTGTTCGGAAAAAACAGAACTAAAGCAAGTAGAATTACCTGTTAGGCCAAACACCAACAAAAACGAATTGAACTCACCGAGGAAGTAGAAGAGAGGGTTCATCTAAAGCGCATGCGCAACACACTTCTTCTTTTTTTAAGGTTTACAACGTGAAGTAAATTACCGCCCTCTACCGATCTGGAGTGTGAACTGGCATTCCTCCTTAAGCTTGGTTTATGCTTGACGCATTCACTTCCTGTTTACGTCTGCGTCAATAGAACAGAACGAATGCTGTACTTGTTATCATTTCAAACATAACTTAAGAAAAAACAATACTGATGTACTCAAATGAGTAAACTCACATTAGCACATCCAATCTACAAAACAATAATTAAAAAAATTAAATATTAAAGAAGATAAAACAGCATAAATTAGGTATTTGTACATGATATCTAAAAAATACTTAAATCCATTTCAGTTTTTGGGCTGTACAGTGATGCAGTGGTTAGCACTGTTGCCTTGCAGCAAGAAGGTCCCAGGTTCGAATTGTGCATGGAGTTTTCATGTACTCCCTGTGCATGTATGGGTTCCCTGCAGGTGATCTGGCTTCCTCCCACAGTCCAAAAATATGACTGTCAGCAGGGGCAATTCTAGCATCAGAGGTTTAGGGGTGCTGAACACCCAGAGATGTGCCCGGTCAGGCAAGATAAATTTAAACATTTTCTACATTTTAACACAATAATTCTCACATTAAAGAAAGAAAACAAAAAGGCTGTTTTCACTAATCAAATTACAGTTTGAAACATCGCAATATATATGTTTAACAGATTCTGCTCACACTGTAGCAGAATCTGGTCCAGGTTTAGAGAGTCTAGGTCAGTGGTTCCCAGTCTTCTGTCCTTGAGCATCCCTTGGTTGTGTGTTAACCTTACAATCTCAGTACAAACATGTTGTAGAAGAAGAAGAATAGCTGATCTTTTGTATAGTGCCTTTCAAAATAAAAATCACGAGGCACTTGTATGTGCTGAATTCCCACAATTTTGGTGGGGACCCCATTGGTGGATCACGAACCACAGCTTGGGAACCACTGGTCCAGGTGTTGTAGTTTGAAAATGTGAGCAGATTAAAGATGCTCAACCAGTGGAAAAATTGGTTGGAACTGCCCTTTAATAATTGGAAACCTGAAATCAAAGCCAATTTGTAGCATTGTCTGAATTTCCACAAAAGAATGAAACTAAAAGTACCAGTAAATAACTTTTAGGTCAATTTATACTTTTTTTCACATAACTTTCCACTAATATCAACATCACGTTGAAAAATAAATCCAAACGTTTTTGTAAATTATTCTTTTTCTTCTTAATTTAAAAAGTTAAAAAAAAACAAAATGGCGGTTTTTGCAAAAGTGACAACCAATCTCATACAGTAGATATTTAGGGGAGAGAAAACAAAAATCACTGACTTTGATCTCTGACAAAAGTTAGATTTAAACTTAATGTTGTGACTTATTTCTCAGATGTCTCAGAATAAGTGATCAAAGCTTTAATTCAATAATTTCAACTGTTCAAAAGGGTTTGGCTATGAAACAACACAAGCACCTTGTCTGTGTTAGAATCTTATTATTGGGCTTCTTTAGCACCAGCCTGTTAGCTGGCAAGCCAGACTCTCTCTGTTAATTCTGCACAGAGACTAAGGCTGTGTCCGAATCCAGAGGTAGGATGCTTGTGAGTGCGCATTTTGAGGTCGATGACGTCAAAGCGCAGCGACGAGTACTGTCCGAATTCCAAGAATCCTCATTCTCGCGTCCTCAAACGCGTCCTCGCTCCACCCACATTTCGAGGATGGGTCTGATGGATCCTCACAGGAGCAAGGGTATCCTAGCATGCTTTGCGCGCCGGCCGCTGGACTCGACACTCGCAACAACGGCGGACGGAGCAGGACAGCAGTACAGCTTAAAATGTAAGTTAGTTAAAAAAATAGCGGTCAAAAAAATAAAATATGTGTTTGGGCACTTTTGGTTTGTTTTTTATATAAGATCTAATACCGCAAATTGTTTTTTTCATGTAATTTAAGGCTAAAACATGCCCCACCGAAAACCAGCTTGAATGTTTAATAGGAAAAAACCCACCGTAAACTAGCTTGATCCCAGCAGGCTCTTTAAAAGAAAATAGCGGTAGAAAACTAAGCTGAAAGCGGTTCTGTTTATAGACATTTTTCGTTTGTATAAGTACATTTTAAGCAGAAATCAGCGAGAACGAGCTTGTATGGTGGCCCCGTCATAATTCCCGTGTGTGTGTGTTTATTTAGCGAATAAAGCTTCTCATCATTTGTTTTAAGGTTAACACCCCACCGTAAACTTGCTTGAAAGTCTAATAGGTGTACTGTGAGGAAATATGGGTTTTCTGTGCAAAAGGTCATTTGACTCGGCTGGGTCAAAGAGCTGGGTCGCTGAGAACTTTCACCCACAGATTAAGACCTGAACGCCAGCGAGTCTGCTGGAAACCATAACATCTGAACACCTGCAGTACCAGAAGAAGGAGTTCTCATGGAAAAGTAGTCATAACATAACAAGTCTTAAAACTTTCTTTTCTTGATTTTAATGTTAAAGAATAATCATTATCATTTTGCTCATTATAAATGTGTTTAATCAAATGAATGATTCTTATGCTTTGGGTAATTATAATGGATTAATGAATCCATACTTAATTAAATAATGTTTGAGGATGTTTGTTAGCGACCTTCACACACACTCAAGCACACACACACTCAAACACACCCACACACAGATTCTCACAGTAAACTCCAAAACACATTTGCTGACGTACACGTTTGCTTTGAGAAGAGAAAGGATTCATAGGGAAAGGCTACATAGGGAAAAACTCACCGTAAAAGAGCTTGCATCTTATGTAATCATGTAACGAACGCCAAAAATAACGAATACTAAGTTTAATGTTTATTTAAGTTAAATTTTAAGAAACCACATTACAGATTTAATGTTTTTAATTTCATTTTAGGCGGAAAAAAACACAGAATACAATTTTCATCTCCCATGTTGATAAATTAAAATATTGTTTATTGCATGTTTTATCAACTATGATTTATAATCTGACTTTGTTCTTCTATTCCTCTCTATTCTCCTCCAGAACCAGTAACTTTAAGGAGCATCTGTAATTTCATTATGCCCACAGTGTTCTCTGTTGTTAAATGACAATAAAGCCTTGTAATTCTAATTCCCTTTGTCTGTAGGACTGCAAGTATCCAGGGTCAGGAGAGGGAGTCAGCGGAAAGCCCACTGCTGAAACCTGGCCCTGGTTTGTCCCCATGGACGAGGTGTTGGGACAGAGGCCTTCCACTATGCCTCCTGTCCTTATTGCTTCCATTCCCGAGAACACTCCAGGGCCAAGTGCAGCAGTGGGTGAGACAGAGGACAGGGAGAGTGGTGGAAGGAAGCCGGAGCCCTCATCAGGGAGAAAAAGGAGAAGGGCTGATGAGCTCCTTGACCTGATCAGGGAGGACATGAGACAACAGAGGGAAGCGGAGGAGAGGAGAGAAAGAAGGATGGACAGATTTTTAGCATTGATGGAAAGGATGGCAGAGAAGAGGGGTTTTTTCTTTTAGTTTCTTCTGGTTCAGGTTCTATATATGTGTTTGAATGTTTTTGTTATTTGTTTAAATGTAATAAAATTTCTATTAATTGATAACTCTTTTTTGATCATTAACAGTTTTATTATTCAGTTTTTAACAAGTAACAACATAGTAAATAAATTGTAAGGGAACACTGTAAGGAATAAAAGTAAAGATAAAAGTAAAATATATACAGTAAACTTGGAAAACAGGGAGTCTTTGGTGGTGTTGCTAAATCTACTAAACATGGATCGAGGTGGATGGAGTGCAGGAAACGAGATCCGTGGCTGAACGTTTCTGGTTGGCAAGTGGAACATCAGACAGAGTGGTCTGCAGAGGGTGCTTCTGGATGCCTCATCTCACTGACCACTGCATCGTCCATCAAAAGGGTTTGCTGGGCTGGCTCAATCGACGGCTGTCACATCACTAACATTCAGATATATGCAAAAAAGGAGATCATGAGTATAATACTTGTAACTCTAGCAGATAACAGGACTAAATGATTTTTAAACTTTAAATACAAAGGCCGGTGACGTTTATTGAGCCGTCGCAGCTCCTCAAAAACCACAAATAAAATGAAATATTGCTGTGGATCCATTTTCAACGTCGCTACTAGCTTGTTAGCCTGTTTGCCGCCATCACGGTTGTAATAAAAATGAACTTGTCATCTGTTGTATAATTGCTTTATATAAGTTATTGATCACTACTGTTTGTCAATCACACCTATCATGAGGATGTAATCAAGGGTAATCATGGTAGAGCCGAACATAATGTGATCATGAGGATGTAATCAAGGTAATCATGGTGGAGGTGTGCAGCTTTGCACGCACATCAGTGGATGTATAAGGAGCAGAGCAGAGCTCAGGTTGTTAGAGCTGCTTGAAGGATTCTACCTGACGAGGTTCATGGATTACATGTGTTCAGTTCTTCACCTATCATGGATTACGTTTTCTAACTGGGGTGTTCAGCTCTCCACCCATAAGCAACGGTAAGAGAAATGTTTTGTTCATGATTGATAACTTGTATAAATGCCGGTTGAATAAAGCCTTGTTGTTCATCTGATATTCAAGTTGTGTTTCATTGTTTCTGGCGTCGACTTGACAACGATCCTGATTAAATAAATATAAAGTGTAAAAAGAGACTTTGAGTCTTTTAAGGTAATTAAAATAAAATAAAACATTTTATTGTAGAACAATTTTGGCGTTGTCGGCAGGATCAGTCAAGCCATTCCAGCAACAATGAAGTGTTTTTGGAGAAGCAAAAAGGAGCCGAGTGCTTCTGGGGAGGGAACGCCGATTCCCGTGCCGATTCCCGGCTGGGAAACGGAGGAGTTCCGAACCATTGGTGATATGTTAAGGCAGCGCGGTGGACGCCCTGGGCCGTGGGGAGAGTTAAATGGAGTGGTCAGCCCCGCCGTGGTGCTGGACCGTTTGACGCGGATAGAAGTTAAAGAAAAAGCGCCGCTGGCAGGAGTGAGAGATATGATGTGGC